GCAGCAGAGGGGGCGTGGTCGCAGCAGAGGGGGCGTGGTCGCAGCAGAGGGGGCGTGGCATAACAGCGCATGGTCGCTCCACTCACCCACCGCTTTGTAGCCGACAGCAGCTTGAAACACGTGGCGCCGTAACAACCTCTACCCTGCCAGGGGTGTGTTCTTCTTATTGTTTCCGTTTTCTAGTTTGTGGCAGATTGGATTCCTGTTTCTAATTCTTCCCTTCCTCCCTGGTGTTGAATTTCATGTTTGCCTCTTTCGCCAGGTGGCTTTGCAGTGCGTTCCTGCCCTTCCCTGCCAAGAGTGGGTGCAGAATTTTTCCTGCTCCGCGTCAGTGCTGGGTGTGGCTATGTACCCTGAAATTACACTTGGAGCTCAGCCTCTGCTGTCCTGTACCCACCAATAGGAAAAAATGTTGATCTTTTTTGCTGTAGGTCATTGAGATTTCTGGGGCTGTCTGTTATGTAGCATTATTGTAACGACTAGTTCCCAGGTCATTCCTTCACTCAACAAACACTGTGTGGCTGCCTTGGGTTAGGAATGCTGCTAGGAGCTGGAGATAAAAAGACAGGACAAAGTCTCTAGCCTCAGGGGTCTTACAATATAAGAGAGTTGTGGCTGTCAGGCTGTGAGGAGACAAGACAAAGCCAGTTCCCTGTCACACAGGGATTTTCAGAGTTTGGGGTGGAGAGGGTGGAAATGGGAGCCCGAGCAGGTGGGGTGCCTGGAGGGGTGGCCTACCTCTCACTCAGTACCACATGCCTCCGTGTCATAATTTGGGGTCCTGAGTAAGGTGCTATTTCCCAAAAGGATCCCACTGCCAGAACAGTTTGCAAAGCTCTGTGGGAGGAAGCTGCAGGTCACAGGAGGGGAAATTGAGATCACACAGACTCAATAAGGAAGACCGGGGCTGCCCCCAAACCTCAGGCCGGACCCACTGGGATCCATGGGGGAGCAGCAATGTCCTTCTCCTCTTTATTATTTCTTCCAAATACCAGCCCTAGGAGACATGTTAGAACCCGTCTAACTACATGTAATACCTCTTCACATCTCTGTAGGAATATAGGCAGGCCCGAGGCAGGGGGCTGGCTCAGGGTTCCACAGTGGCAGAGGCAGAGCCTCCACAGACCCCGCCTTGCCCTCTGTCACCAGCTTCTCCTCTCTGCCTCCATGATCTGGAACCTTCAGCGGGTCAACTGAGCCACGCCTGGTGCTGTGTTGCTTCCCCAAGCTGCACACGCTGATGGCCGTGAGGAATGACTGCGCCCATTGCATCACCTCCTCGCTGTCGGTGAGCCAGTGAGCACCTGTCGCTGCTTCGAGGGGAATTATAATAAAACTTACATGACAGTCCCTTTTCAGGAGGTATAAGCAAACAGCAAACACAACCTGTCGATTGTGCCGAATGCTGTTGATGCTGTTTTCTCATCCTAAAACAGATGATGAAAATGCTAAGCTCTGTAAAGAATGACTTAGTCATACTCAAAATTCTCCAATAAACACCTTACTGTTGTGTTTCACCAGCTCCGAGTCACAGGCAAGTCTCAATGGCCCTTGGCTCAGTGTCCTGCTCCGTGAAATTACGGAATCAGACACAGCTCACGGCTCACTCCGGAGTTAACTGAAGCCCTTGAAGGAAAACTACCAGGTTTTCTAGGAGTTTACGGCATTATTTATTTTTATTATCCTCTCCAAAATTCTATGTTCAGCCACTTTGTTTTCCTCTAAAATTTCTGGAACCTTTTTCCTTAGTGTGCTTCATTCATGAAGCACACAAAAGTCTCTTCGACCTTATCTCTCTCTCTATCTCTTTGTAAGGCTCTTTTTGGTATTATTGAATTTTATTCATAGCAAGACCCATCTGAGGCAATCCTGGTGCAATCTTCCCCACTTTGTCTTCTTTCTTTCTTTCTTTCTTTCTTTCTTTCTTTCTTTCTTTCTTTCTTTCTTTCTTTCTTTCTTTCTTTCTTTCTTTCTTTCTTTCTTTCT